CTATATTCTATATCTATACTATATACTTAAAGGGGGACGGCCATGATGTGAGGCGACTTGGCACCGATGTGAAGGGTCTCCTGCATGCTGATGATGTAGGCACCTGTGTGTCAATGATGATAGGCAACTGCTTAGGCCAGAACACACCTGTGCGTTATGGGCAACGGGATAGTTCATTCAGCTTGGGCAAGGGGCTGGCGTGGTGAAGGGTCATACTTGAGCTAGGCCCGCATGCCAAACCTCCCTTGAGTGTCGGTAGCACAGTGTCGGTCCATGCACTGTCCCCATGAGTAGGAGTGTCAAGATTAGGCACCCAAGGAGGTCGACCACCCCTCCTCAAAGAATATGTTAAGCTTTTGGTGGTCTGTCTGAAAATAATATAAATTCTCCCAAAAATCTTACAGGCAAAAATGACGATAGTGTCCCTTAACGTAAGCCTACCAAGCATAGGCAAGACTAAGCCTGTATCAAACCGTGACACTAGGGTGATGTAACAGACCTTCTTCAACTAAGGTTTAGAACTCATCATCTTGTTGTGGAAGAAATCAACGGCTATGAGATCCACAAGTCCCATGTATATCAAAACTCCAGGACACAGAGAACCCAGGAGCCCTTCAAGTATTAAGGCTTTAGGGCTGCTATCATCGTAACCAGTCATGTAGAATATCATCAACCCCAAAACTATTCCCGTTGGAGTTGTCACTGAAAACATGAAGCTCATGTAAGCCGTCGTTCCCATGCTGAAGCCCGCCTGTCCATCATCATCATCATAAAAAACAATTAATTCATCAACCAAAATCATTGTTTCAGTCCTCATATTTTTGAATATCATGATTCATTCTACCAATTTTCAATATGCTAGACTTGCAGATACAGTGCAACCATGGGAGAGAAAAAAATAAAACGTGTAATGCACTCCATGCTATCCGTTAAGTATGCACATCTAATCAAATGAGTAATAGAAGTATACATAACACCCAAGTTACTCATTAAAGCACACCAAAAGGTTAATACAACAAGTTAGAACCAAGTTTTGTGGTTGCCTGATATGGAACTAGAGGGGCAACAAAAGCATATCGATCATCCATCCATTAAAAGAATTCTTTTATTTTTCCATATGGGATTTTCTCCCAGGTCTGCCGGCACCGATCCTATCATCTGGCTGTGGTAGTACCTAGGTTCTTTAATTATAAAGCAAGAAGAATAGGTCAAAGGTAGTTATTTTCTATTTGGCATATGCTTGGCCAAAAAACAATCGTCTTTACTAGTCAGTATATTTACTTAGGGGATAGACTTGGCAGATAAAATGAAGAAAAGAACTAGAGATGATTATTTAAACAAAACTAATGGGATTAGATGAATATTAAGAGGTGTCCATGGAATAGGTACAGTAAAATTTCGGGAAACAATTATAAGTACCCATGAACGGGAGGGGGCTAAGCATACCTCTGGCCGGGTATACTATTCTCTCTCTCTCTCTGTGATGGACGACCTCAGTACAAAGGTGGAGGTATTTTGTGGTGGTGAATCAATTCCAATATGACGACAGAAATGAAAGGACATTTTGTATGAGGTTGCTGTAAAGGCCCACTTTAGGGCCATCAGAAATTTTTGTCAATGCTCGGGGATGTCCCAATTCCCCTCTCCATCCCAGGTTAGCAATGAACCGGTTAAATAGTTATTGGGCTCTATGTGTTTTGGTCTGCTCGTTTGTTTTGAAGTTTAACATCTGAAAGTGCAATAATTACATTAAGGGGGCATTCGTTTTTTGGATTTTGAGAGGGGGAAAGTTGGTAAATGGGATTTTAGTTCCCATTGACCAAGAACCCCATGTTCTTTTTTCATATTTATGTGGGGACAAAGGAAAGTTTATTTTCCTGGGTATCTCCTAAGTGGGTAAATTAACTTTTCCACCTATGGGGAAAGTTGCCAACATTTGAAAGGGACAAAAATGCCCTTTTTAATAATGGATTTTTATGGCTAAAATGGACATTGCCTTATTTACATGAGAAATAAAAGAACATGGGTAATTGCACTTACCCGGTAAGTGTTTCCCAATAAAAACTTACCTAGGTAACCACATTTACTCGGGTAAGTAACTTACCGAAAAGCGAACGGGGCCTAAGAGGTATATTGATATTGGTGAAGTTTTCTTTTCTCTGAACTCAGAATGTAGAGAATGTTGTTCTGAATTCTGAAAATTATCAAATATCTATTTTGACCCCATATATGAGAGTTTTTGTTTGTCTTTTTGAGGGTATCATTGGAAAACAAAAAGTTGTATAATTGCACTTAAAGAGATAAGAGATAAGAGGAAACTATTAGCGTAGAGGTATTTCTGTCTTTATACCTTGATTGATGTTGAGCAATGAGATAAGGAGGAAAACACACCCGGAGTTCCAATCATGTGATCGGAGGCTCCAGAGTCAATGATCCAGGGATTGGGTGTAGATGCCAGACAAGCCATACCTGAGTGAGCAAAAGTCGCTGTGTTCTGATGTGATTGGACAAACCTCTCATATTCATCACGGGGAACACTCACCATCTCCTTCATGGGACCATCTGTGGATGTAGGAGGCATTTGGTTAAATGAATGATTCTCCTGTCTAAAGTTGGAACTTGAGTCACCGGTCGCGGCATGATTGACCCAGGTTGAGGGAGGACCATGTAGATCATAACAATAGTTGATGGTATGTCCATCCATACCATAATGAGTGCACTTCCTCGGGCCTGAGCTACGTCCTCTACCACGGGCTCCCCCTGAATCTCTACTCCCAGTACGACCACCACCATGATTATGAGTAGACCCACCATTGCCACCTCGGCCATATGCAGAACCACTACCACCACCACGGCCAGACTGAGCTCCCCAAGCTCCACCTCTAACACCACGACCTCTCGATGCAGTAAAGGCAGATCTATCTGAGATATTAGAGTTCTCAGTAGATCCGATAGAAATCCTCCGAAGTCGAGTAAATACCTCTTATAGGGATGGAAGAGCTGATCCCCCTAATATCTGAGCCCGTACTGGTTCATATTCAGACTTTAGTCCCAC